CCCCTTTCAGGAGCTCCCACCTTTTCTGGACTCCTTTTCCATTAGCTTTCCCCTCTCAAGGAATTCTGCTTACTGCCCTTATTAAGATCTGCTCTTTTGAAAATATATGTTCAGTTATACGTAGCTTTTCTTCCTTTAAAATCAAGAACTCCAGCATTAGAGGCAGTCCACAATTGAGCCCAAAATTTTGGCTGCTCAGTGAGACAATTGTTAAAGCCAATTTTGTCCCATTTTACAACCTTTCTTGCCCCAGCTGTTAAGTGAACCAGTGCAATAGTTCGGTTAGTAACCTGGTTGTTATGTGAATCTGGCTCCCCCATTGACTTTGCTTGTCAGAAGGTCAGAAAAGGTGATTACATGACCCCGGGACACTGCAACTTTTATAAATATAAGTTGTCAAGTGGCTGAATGTTGATTGTATGACAATGGGGATGCCACAATGGTCATAAGTCACTTTTTTCAGTGCTGTTGTAACTTAGAACGGTCACTCAATGGACTGTTGTAAGTCGAGGATTGCCTGTACATGATCACTTTCCTCAACATTCAGCATGAAGGCCAGATCCCCACATGAACCTGAATGTGAACCAATCATGCCTAGAACCTCCCTTGTACCCCATATTGTTGCTTTCCTCTTGTTTCCAGCCGAGGAATGAGATGACGTTAAAATACTGCCACTTACTATATAAGTGATGTTTATTTGATTTTGGTACCCGGATGGTAACCCATCCCTTTCCTATCCTTATAAAACCCAATAAAATATTTAATTAAAAAATACTGCCAAACCCAAAGAAAATAGTGTTGTAGGTTGCATTCTTGGTGCTGAGCTTGCTCCTCTAATCTTGGTTCTCTTCCTGCGGACATTTTGTGACCAGGCTAGGTAACATTGTCAGTGCATAGTGGAGTGACTTTGCTAGGTTTATATGTATATATAAGTTCTGACTGGGGAATTCTGGGAGTTGAAGTCCACAGATCTTAAAGTCACCAAGGTTGAGAAGCACTGCTCTATAGGAAGACCAAGCATAATTTCTTGGAAGGCCTATTTGGCAAAGATTGCGTCTCAGTAAATGTGGGAAAAATGAAACACCCACTTCACTGCATAGTATGAAGAAGGCTCTCTTGGATAAAATGTATTTATTTGTTCATACCAGTGTAAATAAACTGTGGAATTCATTTGCTCAGGATTTCATGATTGGTACCATCTTGGGTAACCTAAGAAGCGATTGAAGAAATTCATGGAAGTTTAATGCTCTAAATGGCTACTAGATATGATGGCTGTATGTCACCACCTCCAGAGAGGCAATATCCTTCTCTGTTCTTATTACTGAGAGCCGGTTGCTTGGGAACATGAGCAGAAGTCTCAACTGCATTTGTGGGTTGATAATGGTCTTCCTGAAAGCACCCTGTTGCGCTCAGTAGGTACAAAATGTAGCACTAGGTAGACTTAATAGACAAAAAAGACTAAGATCTTAGATTTTGGGGTGGAAGGCCTGCATGTTTCTACTTATATAGCTGAACCACAATTCTGTTTTAGGACAATCATACTGGAATCAGAATCATAAGATTGAAAAGGACCTTGAAGATCCAAGGTCCAACCCCAACCCATGGCAGGCTATAAGTAATCCTATCACAGAATTCAAGAAGAGTAAGCATGATCAAGAAGAGCAACTAAGATGATCAAAGGCCTGGAGGCTAAAACATACAAAGAACGGCTGCAGGACTTGGTTTGGCTAGTCTAAAGAAAAGAAGAAATAGGGGAGACATGATAGCAGTATTCCAGTATCTGAGGGGCTACCACAAGGTAGAAGGGGTCAGGCTGTTCACCAGAACACCAGAGGGAAGGAGGAGAAACAATGGTTGGAAACTGATCAAGGAGAGAAGCAACCTGGAATTAAAGAGAAACTTCTTGACAGTGAGACAATCAATCAGCGGAACAGCTTATCCCCAGAAATCGTGGACGCTCCATCACTGGAGATTTTTAAGAAAAGACTAGACAATCACCTGTCCAAGATGGTGTAGGTTCTCCTGCTTGAGCAGGGGGCTGGACTAGAAGACCTCCAGGGTCCCTTCCAGCGCTATTCCATTCTATCTAGATAAAAATCCTTTTGGTGTTCTTATAATATTAAAAAGAGGGGTGATGGAAGTATTCAACAAACGGCAAGAATGCATATATTAAATAAAATTTAACAAGAATCTGGTCTGGAAAATCAAGGGGGAAGCCAGCAGGAAAAGTTGCAAATCATGTCCACATGATGTCTATACCAAAACAATCTGGCAAAATTAGCTCACCTAATGACCAGGGTGCTTAACAATGAATTGCATCACAATTGAAGTTGCGATTGTATGTTGGAAGACTACCTGTATTGGATTGAAAATAATGTGGATTGTTCACATTCTAACAGACAAGATAGAAAGAAAACAAGACAGGAAACCATGCTGCTAATTCCACTCCGGGTCACATGACTTCAAAAGAGATGGGAGGGGGACTTAGAATGGAACAGTCAGCAACATTCTAAGCCAGTGGTGGCAAACCTATGGCATGCGTGCCAGAGGTGGCACTCGGAGCCCTCTCTGTGGGCACATGCACCGTTGCCCCAGCCCCACCTTCTCCCACAGCCCCCTCCTCACCAGCTCCCCAGTAGGAGAGTCGCCCTTGGGCACGGCCCACGCGAAGCAGCGCAGCCAAGGACATGGTAGCTGGGCAGTGGGGATGGGCATGGGCTGAGGGCGTGGCCATGGCGCTGCTGGGCTGCCTGGGTGATCTATGGCGGGCGGTGAAGGTGGTGGGTGACCCAGCGGGCAGGGTGGAGCGGGGGACAGGGGCAGTTTTTGGGCACTCGGTCTCTAAAAGGTTCGCCATCGCTGTTCTAAGCCATTGCCCCATTGTTTCTCCATAGGGATGCACGGAGAGAGTTTTTCAGGATTATTTTTCTCTGCAGTCCCTGGATGGATCCAGCTTTTTCAAACTCGGGACTCATGCCAATACAAAACCCATGATAACACTTAGACTTATATACCGCTTCAAAGTGCTTTACAGCCCTCTCTAAGAAGGTTTACCAAAACAGCATATTGCCCCCAACAATCAGGATCCTTGTTTTACTGACCTTGGAAGTATGGAAGGCCGAGTCCAACCTTGAGCCGGTCAGGATCAAACTCCTGGCTGCAGGTAGAGTTTGCCTGCAATACTGCATTCTAACCACTGCACCAACACGGCTCTTTCAAAAATGGAAAGGAACTCTCTGTGTGGACAGCCCCTCACGGACCAGCCAACCCCAAACTAGGAGAATCTGCTGCTGGAATTGCCACTTCTCCTGGGGCCTGGAAATCTTGTCTTTTTTTTGGGGGGGGGGTATCTACATGGCTAGGACTTTACGAAAAACCCCCACACAATTTCCATTGAAGGGACTCAATGAAAAGTCAGCCCTTGTGTCCAGGTGTGTGTGTGTGTGTGCCTTGCAGGCCCTTTTGGTTTATGCATCAGTGGGAATATCAGACTTCTGGTGATAACTGTGTCTCATCTTCCAGAAGACTAATATTACTGTGGGAGGAGTAGGAGGAGGAGATGAGGAGGACTGAGATGTCCAGTCTCCTCTCTGATAACTGGGCAGGGAGGTGTGGTACCCCATGGATGAATTAAATCAGGGGTAGTCAACCTTGGCTCTTTTATGACTCGTGGACTTCAACTCCCAGAATTCCTGAGCCAGCACAGCTGGCTCAGGAATTCTGGGAGTTGAAGTCCACGAGTCATAAAAGAGCCAAGGTTGACTACCCCTGAATTAAATGATGCAATGGGAGTGTTGATTTCACACAGCTGGTCTCCAGCTCTGAAGACAACTAATGTGCGCACAGGAGGACTTCTGCCAGCACAGAGTGGAAAACTCTAGTTTCAGGTAAGCACCTTAGCCTGACTTCAGTCTGCCTCAGCAGCCTCTCAGTTGGAAGCTCTGAGGTGAGGTCCTCCTTGGGCTCCTTCTGCTGTTTTCAGAGTTATCTGCTGGCAGATGAACAGGCAAAAGACCTGAGGCCCCTTCGCATCATTTTTTTCAACACTCTGGGGAGCTGGAAACAATAAAACCTGTAAGGAGTAAGGAACTTGGCTTCTGATCCCTTTTAAAATAATTACATTTATTTATTGAAGCTATTAGATGGCTTCTCTCTGTGCAATATTTGTAGCAGATTACATTATCATTTATTTGTTCTTTTCCCAATAACATTTTTGTTTTTATTTTACAACAACACTCTTGCAAGGCAGGACAAGGCAGCCCCAAACCATACGTTAGCGTCAAGCCCAAAAGTGGTCCCCCCTACTTTTGCAACTGTTCACACAGCTAACACGAATACTGAATTAACCCATTAACAGTATACTAAGCCATAAATTAACCAACGGGACGGGGTTCACATAGCTTTCCAAACCTCCCCTCCCCTCCCTAAGCCCCGAAGTTAGCACTATCCAAGCCTGGTCGGTTTTACAAACGCAGCCGCAAGGTCTCCATCTGACTTGGCTAATCGTGGAGCGGGAACCCAGCCTGCTCGCATAAATCACCCAGCTAACCCGGGAGACCCAGCACAAGCGCGAACCAGCGGTTAAGACTCGAGCGGAGGCTGCACGGGCCCCCTTCTCCTCGCCTTCCTCCAGCTGGAAGCGGCATTGCCCTTTTAAGAGCCCAGGCGACGGAGACAGGGAGGGGGAGGAGGCCCCTTTCTTGGAACAGCCACGGAAAGCCGAGGAGGTGGGGGGGAGAGCGCGGGGAGGGGAGGGTCTGCCGGAGCCGTCTTCGTTCTTTGGAGGCAGCCCGGAGCCATCGGCGCGGCGCCCAGCCTCCTCAGTCGGGGTGGCGTCCGCAGGCTCCTCGCTCAGTCTAGCTCGGGGGGCGCTCGACGGCGGCGCAATGGGGCTCCAGCGCTGCTGCTGCTGCTGCGGGCGGCGACCCCGATCCCCGGACCACTTCCTCCTCCAGCTCCTCTAACGGCAGGTGCCGCGGCGGGGGCCTCCCCCCCGAGCCATGTACGCCAAGGGCAAGGGCTCCAGCGTGCCCTCCGACGGACAAGCGCGCGAGAAGTAAGTGCTCCGCTTCCCGGCCGCCCCCCGTCGCCTCCTCCTCCCCGGGGACGGGGGCGACGGGGACGCCTCGGGACCCCACCCTTCCGACCTCTCCCGCTCCCAGGCAACTCCGCTTTTCCCTGCTTAAACTTTGAAGCCGGAGTTGGGCGCGCGCGCGCCGCTCCAGCCGCGACCCCTCCCCTGAAAAGCGCGCCCTCCCTCCCTCCCTCGGATTGGGTGCCGGGGGCTCCCCTTGGCGCGAGGGAGCCTGCGGGAGCAGAGGGGGGGGGGGCTCGGCGCTCCCGGTGAGCCCCGTCGGGGGAAAAGTTACGGGAGGGTCTTTCGGAATTTGGGGAGGGGGGTCGCCCAGAACGGAAGAGTTGCTCCGGGTAGAGGCGGAGAAGGGGAAGATCGGAGGCGTCCTCCTTCCCCCGCACACGCAGCCTTCATCCTGGGGGGGGGGGAGAGGTTGGAGACGCGGGGACAACCTCGGGCACGTTGCGCTCTCGCCCGACGTGCGGCAAGAGGACGCGGGCTTGAAGGCGCCCGGCCGGCGGCGTTTGCCTGGAGACCAAGCGCAGCCCACCCGGGGTGGCTTAGGTGGCGGGGGGGGGGCTCGCGGGTGCGAAGTGGGGTGCATCTGAGTGCAGCTTCCCCTCCATCGTCCCCCCCCTCCCCCGCTAGCTTCCTCCCTGCATCGTTCGGTTGTTTGCTCCAGGCACACGTGGGCGGCTGGTGTCTCTTCCTGTCTTCGACAGACCCTTTCTTCCCCCCCCCCTCCAAATCTTCCTGCGATCGGGGGAGGACGAGCGTGACAAGTGGAGTTTACCAACCCCCCCCACCCCGAAATGGAACCGCCGTGTCTCTGCTTGTATGCGCTGGAATGAGGACGCTGAATACCTTGGGGGGGGGGGGTTGACCTCAGTATTCCTCAGCGCTGATGTTTGCTTGCTGGAGCCGCGGAGGTTATGAAATACGCGTTGGGGGGGGCTACTCAAGGGGGGGGAGAGGGGAATATACGGGAGGGGGGGAATCAGACCTCAATGGGTAGGATTAAAACATGCCTACCAAAGTAATTTACAGAGGAGGGGTCCCTACAGTCCAGAGGCTGGCGTTGCAGAACTGCTCTCCCCCCGCCCCCCCCCCCGCAGAGGGCTTTCCATTCCCTGATTTTGGACTACGCAGGCATGCATACATGAGGTCTCTGCAATGCTCCCTTCTGGTTAAGAGATGAGGTGTGGAACTCAAGGCCACGAGAGACACAGCAAGCTGCTCCTAGCCACTGGACATGTTGAGGGTTTTTCAAGCACAGACTTCTATTGTTATGCCCACATATGGCTCAAAGTTCTGGTCTACGCTACCTGTGAATTAGGAACATTGACATTAAAACATCTGGAGATACCTGTTGGGAACAAGCTGGCTCAAGATATCAGAGAGCTATCCATTTTGGACTACAGTATTTATTTTCTTCAGTGACCATTCACAAATTCTAAGATCTATGGAACAGAGAAGATTCTCTTTTTATGATATCTGTTTATGGTAGACAGATGCCATAGTAGTACATAATACTACATAAATATAAAAAATAAAGTCCTTGGATAATTTGCTGGGAGGCCTGCAAATCTCGTTTTGCCTCTTTCCTGGCCATTCTCCTTTGGTTTAACAGCTGTTTGGCCAAAAAAACATTTGGTCAGGGAATGCTTTTTTCCCCCACTGTTTCCTCTCCATGCCCTGAACAAGCTTCAGCTAATTAGTTCCTTCTTGTTGAGGTGCAGTTTAAAACTACAAGAACAGCAGCAAGAGAGAAAGTTGGCAATTGTGATGGCGGCAGCTGGGCAGGGGCTGTGGAAACATATCGCAAATGTGGGGTCTAATAAGGTAAACTCATCATATCTGGGCTGCAGAAAGCTGGATGACCACTCGATAGCAGCAAAATATAAAGAATTTTCTGTTTCTCATTTCTCATGTCCGGTGGACATCTGGATTTTTGCATCCCACATAATGGTAGAACAGGAGCTTTTAAGGAAAGCAAAAGGGCTGTTGCTCTGTGGCCAGGGAAAAAAAAATGAGACTAGAGAGAGGTTCCATAGCAGCTAGTAAGACTGTGCAATACATCATATTCAGTTGTACAAAGGTGCAATGGAGCACACACAGTCAGAAATGTAACCCCTCTCTGCTGCTCTTTAAAGCAGCCATGTCTTTTCCCCAAACCGTGGAATAGCTGCAGAGGGTGCAATCCTAGGGGGGGGGGAAATCAGATTGCTTTAAATAGCTACACATAGGTGCTGTGGTTGTATTCCTGCATGGTCTGATCAGGCATCTTTCCTGAATTATTTCCACTGCACAGCTCTAGTAGCTACGCTAATCTATAAGGGTATGTGTGAGATGAAAATACAGTATTTTCAGAAGGTTTTTAAAAATATTTCCCTCTAGAAATTTCCTATAAGGTAGTCCATTCAACTTAGTTCATATAATGAGGATGGGAGGGCTGATTCCGAGAACTGCTTTAGTGAATTCCAAGATACTACGGTATAGTCTTAACTTACAACCACAGCTAGGACCAGAATTTCCGTTGTCGAGCAAAGGCTTTTGTTAGTGAGTTGTGCCCAGTTTTACGACTTGTTTTGCTATGTTTGTTAAATGAATCACTGCAGATAAGTGAATCACACAGTCATTAAGCAAATCTGGCTTCCCTCGTTGACTTTACTTGTCAGAGGCTGGCTGGGAAGATTGCAAATAGCAGTTACCATTGCTATTTGCTGCAACCCTGTAAATATATGCCAATTGACAAGCACCTGAAAATTGATCACATGACCCTGGGGATGCTGCAGTGGTTGTAAGTGTGAGTACAGATGGTAAGTCACTTTTTTCCAGTGCCGTTGTCTTTCTTCAAACAGTTGCTAAACAAATTGTTTAGTAAGTTGAGGACTACCTGCATTCTGTTTTGGAAGTGAATCTCCAGATATTTAGGTGCTTTGAAGTGGATGTGAGGCAACTGGTAACATATAAACTATGCTTTAGGCTTGTGCAAAATGGTTGTCCTAGAATTCCAGATGGTAGACCCCACTTTCCTAACCTCATGCCTTTTAAGTTATGTTGAATTTGGATTCCCATTCTGACCAAGGTTATGGGTACTAGAAGTCCAGCATTTCTGGCAAGCATCAGGTTGAGGAATTCAGTGGCCAGTTTTGCATAGACCAACTGGATAATACCCTTCCCCCTGGAATCCGGTAGACCCGCACATTTTTAGCTTCCAGAAAGCCATAAAGGGCCAAGATTTCCCCTAGGCAGAGTTGAAACCTGAGGATTGCATGGATTGGAGAGGTTGGGCCAGGGGCCTGGTTTTCTTATTTTTGGTTTTTGTTGTTATTATTGTGAGCAGCCCAGAGTTGTGTTTTACAAGATGGATGGCCATATAAATCTTTTAAATAAATAAATAAACGCAAGTGTCCCAGCAGGGGTTAATACCACAGTGTTTAGTTGATCATCTGCCTGTATCTAGATTTTATGGCTCTTTTTTTTTTGCCTGGCTAAAATCATTTTCTTGGCAAAGAGAGGAGTTTTGCTCAGTAGGAAGAGCACATTTTTTTTTTTTATCTGCAGGAATTCCAGGTCCAGTCTGTGATATCTCCAGGAATTAATATCTTAGATAGCTGCTACTGGCAAAACACAGCTTTGAAATGCTGTGCCCTCCAACTGTTTCAGGCACCTAGTAAGTTTCCACGTTTTGTGGTTTGAGCACAGAAAGCCCCAACATCAGAACCATCAGTTCCATTTAAATGGTTCTTGAGTTCAATGGTTGGGAAAAAACCCTGAGCTCAAGGAGAGTCCCTGATTATTTAGATAAAGTGCAGGCAAGATGGAGCAGTGGGTTGACTACTGTATGTGATACTTCAGCGTCATTTATTGTGAATACTGTATTTAAAAAATATCAAAGAACACCGACTTATTATAATAGAATTATTCTTTGGATTTATGTTCTGCCTTTTTGCTAGGTGCTCAAGGCAATGCATGTGGGGTTTTCCCTATAACCATAAACCTGTGGGGTAGGTTGGGCTGAGAGAGAGCGATTGGCCTAACGTTCCACTGTGAGCTTCCATAGGTGAAAGTGGATTAGAACATTGTATTTCTCAACGTTGTCAGCTTGAAGATCTATGGACTTCAGCTCCCGGAATTTATCAGTCATCATGCTGGCTAGGAAGTTCTGGAAGTTGAAGTCCACACAGCTGCCAAGATTGATAAACATTGTTCTTGTCAATCACTTCAACATCTGCACTACAGATCCTCTTGTATGGAGGATTCCAAGGAAAGAAGGAGATATACAAAAACCCTGTCAAGCGTAGAAAGTCAGGAGTCCAGACAGTTCAAATGAATATATAGATTTATTGTATGCTAAAGCCCTCTAGAAGAATCTGACAATCGAAGCAAATTGGTGGTACATAAGAGCTAATGGGATTCAAGATGGGTTGGACTTAGATCTTTTGTGGGCATGAAGGGATTCAAGACTGAGGACATGTTTGACCCCTCCCTTGGGCTCAGCCTGGTCATCTCCTACACACCCTTTCTATGCACAGATAGTCAGAACAGTATAGTGGTCATGTTGTTCAGATAGGACTAGAGCAGGGGTCTTCAAACTTGGCCCTTTTATGACTTGTGGACTTCAACTCCCAGAATTCCTCAGCCCAGCGTGCCTGGCTGAGGAATTCTGGGAGTTGAAGTCCACAAGTCATAAAAGGGCCAGGTTTGAAGACCCCTGGACTAAAGGAATCAATTCGTGCCCAGTGTCTACCGAAGAGCTGCACTGGATGAGAGATGAGAAATTTGAAAAGGTAGTTCTTAATTTATGACCACAACTGGAACAAGAACTTCAGTCGCTACTAACTGATGCGGTTGTTAATTGTGTTGTACCTAATTTTATGACATTTTTGCCATGCTCATTAAGTGAATTTGGTTTTTCCATTGACTTGCTTGATAGGAGCCTCCTGGGAAGGTTGTAAATGGTAATCACATCATCCAGA